ACTGCACCCCCAACCACCGTGTGACAGTTCCCAAAAAAGCCAAAGCCAAGCCAAAGCAACCCCCGCCTGGCGCGCAAAAGTTGCCTGGTATTTGTCGTCCTTTGTAGCCGATTTAACTGCTTATTAACTGTGCGTGCGGCCCTTTCTTTCGCTTGGGCTGCTGCTCGACATGTCAGCGAGTAAATAAATAGCTAATTAAATACAGGGTGCCACGTGGCCGTGTGCAAACACGCCCCTGCAAACACGGCCAGGTCTCCCTGGGCCAAAGTTACATCGGGGAAACCCGAAGCCCATGATCGAGTGGGTGTCGGTTTAGCTTGGATTTGTTCTCGGGCCAGGATACTCAATGTCCTGGTCTTTTCTCAGAGTGACATTTGAGGCGGTGCTGCTTGCCAAGTCTGTGGCTGTCAGAGAATCAAGATTTGTCGCGTGTTTGGCCTTCGATTACAGGGTTCGAGGTGGAAAGCTGAAACTGTAATTAGCCGAGAGGTGGGAAAGTGTGAAAAGCTGACGAGGGAAATCCAAAGGCTAAAGGTTGACTTTTCCAAAGGGATAATCTATGTTATGTTTTCCAAAAATCTTGAGGAATATGCAGATTTTTTATACACTTTTTTCTATAAAAGCTCAGCACTATCCCATATTTTTTTTAACCATGTATACCCTCAGGGGAAAACGGCGGCATCGAGTGTAAACCAATACGCTTGTCGGCTCCTAAACTAATTAAAACATCTTGCGGATTGTGGCCGTCGTCAAAGCTTTTGTCTTTGCTCTAATTCGTCCTGAATCGCACAAAGCATACCGAAACCGAAACAGGATGCTTGGGGTAGAGACCGGCCCGACCGACTTGGGCCCGGAACCAAAAGCCAACAATGGAATAAAAAACATGTCATAAACTAACAGGGCAAGGACTCCACGCTGCGGCTTTGTCCCACCGAAATTCGTCCTGGAATTATGACAGGCCCTAAACTAAAATGAATTGAATTGGAGTGAATGCTTCGTGTCTGTCGCTGTCTGGAATCGGGACAGCCGTATAATTAGGCTCCCCTAACCAGGATTTCAGAAATTTTTAATTGAATTAAAGCTTGCGCGAGGACATAGCCGAATTCCCATGCAGTTGGCATTCAGGCGGGCGCATTACCTTAGGCGCCGCTATCAATATCCTTGAACGCAGCGGGTTGTCCTGCCAGTCCTACCTCTACCCCCAGCTACCCTCGCCCCTAGAGGGTCTCGAGGTCTCTAATTGCAGTTCATGCTGGGCTGTATTTTTGCTTCCATGCAATTAACTCGCCTATCGCCAACGAGACCCAACCAGCCAGCTCAAACAAAGTGCATTCGATGGCATCGAGTTTTCAATCAAATTGATTGAATTGCATGACAAACGGGGCGGCACTGGGATAATTATAGTCCTGTTGCTGGCAAAATGATTATGCCAAAGGTTGTAGCGAGTTGAAAGTAGATTTCCCCGAGCTGATTTCAAGTACCCCCCATTGGGAGAGATAAAAGCTAAGGGAAATTTGTATTTTCCGGGGTTTTCAAAATGATATTAAGTAATATTTGAAAGGGGATATATTTCTTGTTGGATGGATGAGATTTATATTATTAAATTTAAGGTAATAGATGGTTAATAGGTTTTATAATTGGATCTCAGAGTAATCTTATGAGACTTAGGAGTTTTGAATAAATATTTATTTTTATGTTTTTGACCTCAGCTTTTATTAAATTGTCTATCAAAATCGTTATTCTTATGTTATGGAATGAATTATTTTAGAATAAGGTTAAAGGTATATAATAAAAATTAAATATTACAACATCTTTAAAAAATCTCCTAATACACCTACAATTCTATCAGTTAAGAGTTGAATTATTTTAATTCTATTGTCCTTCTCATTCTGCTTAACCATTATATGATGATAGTATTTTATTATCTCTAACCTCTATTTCCAAAAAGTCATTGTTTAAGTATTCAGTCTAAGCCTGATTGAATCTTTGGTCAATCAAAGTCAAGGATTTGGCATGGCAATTGGCCCGACCTCAATCTTTGGAAAACTCACCAGAAATCGGAAGTATGAATAATCCAACAACAACAACAATTGTGTGTAATGTCAAGTGGAACTACACTCCCCTAGCCTACAACCGCCTCATCATCAGTCCCTCCCACCACCCGCACACCCTGTGTCTGCCTCTCTCTTTCTCTACAAGTTGCAAACAGTTTTATTAAGCTGCTGAAGCTCTTGTGTGTTAAAAGTCAATTTTCCAATTTGCAAACTGTCAGAAACATTCGAAAAGCAATTTCTGCCACACAGCGAGCGAAAGAGAAGGGAACACTGAAATAGAGTGGGAGCGGTAGAGAGAGAGAGAGAGATGGTAAGCGTATTGCGTATACGCCTTGTATGCTGTGTGAGTTACTTCTATGTCTATGTGGGGTTTCTTTTTTTCGGGCGGGACGACACTTTGCGGCAGAAGTTTTCCAATAAAACGGCAAAACTTTGCTGCGAACAAAATTAAAGAAGACGACAAGGCAGAAATGGTTGAATGGCAGGGCCAGAAGAAGAGGAAGAGCAAGATGATGACGTTAAAGAGGGTTTTCGGCTTGGTAAGGGGGGGGGGCCTAGGGATTTGGGAAGGTTGAGGGTTTTTTTTTTCGTGTGGGGAGGACAGGGACGTAAATTGTTTGCTGCCAATGCGAAGTTTATGAAAAAGATTAAAGTTGAAAAGTGGTTGTCTGATGGGTCGGGGGTGTTCTTGTGGTGAGTCGCGTGCTCCACATGAATGCCAAATTGCTGCAGGCCAGCCCCGATAGAGGCGAGGGGCTGCTGCGGGGCGAAGCATCGAGTGGGGTGGGCGAGTGGGTGGCTTTTTGAGGCCAGAGCCGGCTAAATGTAGCAAAATTGAAAATGGCTGAAAATGGGGATGCCCGGGTATGTGCTTGTATTTGTGTCTATGGGGTGGAAAATTGAGTTTGGTCCATGTCATGGTTATGAGGGTGGCTGGGGGCGGGTGAGGAAAGGTAGAGTGCCAAGGGGGGTGGCAGCATCAACAACCAAAGATGAAAGCAGACAATTTTGCCAACTTTCGGGTGGATGAGTGTGTGGCAAGTGGCAAGTAGGGTGAACATCATAATGATGTTTGTGGGCGTGCCACCCAAACGGGGCACTCTCTCTCTCTCTCCCACTCTATCTTCCCTCTTTTTCTTCGGGTTTATGTGGGGATTTTCATTATGACGCGCCATGAATGGAAATTACAAAATTGATTTTGATGATTTAATTAAAATGAAGAAGCACAAACTCAAATTATAACAGCCAGTGGGGAAAGCAGGTCCTCTCATTCTTTCTCTTTTTCTCTCTACCTCTCTCTCTTACTCTCTTTTCCCTACCAAATGGCAACCGTCTGATTAGGTATGTGTGTGTGTGAGAGAGGAGCTGAATGTGGCCTAAAGCTGCTAACTTTAATTTATTTTCTTCGTACAGATTTAAGAGACAGGAAATTAGACTTTCTAAATGGGATTTCAGTTTACTGGAAAAGGGGGCGGCAGTGGGGTGAAGGCAAAAAGACAGTAGAAGTGGCAAGCTGGCTGCTGCTTGAGCACTCTTGTTATTGTTGTATGTCTGAGCTGCTAATTGATATCCGACAGATATTCAAAGATAATCAAGGAACATCTCTAATTGGAACGGATTTGATTGGCTTTTGATTAGCATGAAATGAGTTTTTGATAGTTAAAAATAGAATTCCAATTCCAATTTTTGGTTTCTTATCTTATAATTGGTGAAATTAATTTTTTTCATAATTTATTTAATATATTTTAGCTTTTAATTTCCTTCAAACTCTTAATATATTAATAAAATCTCAGTTTCTAATTTCTGTTTTTTGAATCCTTTACCTTATAACTTATTTTATAGTTGCCTTATTTGCTTGGTTAGTGTATTTTAATTAAGCCATTTGAAATTGCATTTTCCGACTCGCAAATTTGTTTTGCAAATCACTTTCGGGGCAACGAAAATAATTTTACGCACCATTATCTTTAATTAAAGAGCCGCAGAGGGACCACCCAGCACCGAGTACACTGGCACGCACACTAATACCCGTACACTGCCTACATAGATTGCTGTTTATGTGTGTGTGTGTGCTGGCGGCAGGAGCAGGATAAAGAGCAGGAGCTGTTGCCACACTGGCGATAAACAACAACATTTCATGTTAATGAAATTTCCATCTGAAATAATTTCTTATTAATTTGCGCAAATTGCATTTAATTACTTTGAGCGTGGCAGGCAGGCAGCAAAGTGGGGCATGAGGCATGGGCCATGGGAGGCAGGTTGATTGGTTGGTCGAGGTGGTCCGGGTGGGTGGTCGGGGGGCGTAATAACCAAGCCGACGGCAATGAAAACTTTCCCTAGATGGCTTTTCTGGGCTTTCTCTCTCTCCCTCTCGCTCGGTTCAGCCACTAATTAGACAGCCACACTAATACACACTCATTGTTGCTATAATTCTAATTAGAGCCAAGGCAACTAATTGAATTTTATTTTATTTCCTCCGTTACTTTGGGTGTTTCTCTTCTCCTAGGTGTGTGTGTGTGTGTGTGTGTGTGGGTGGGAGTCTGCTCAGCCATTTTGTTTGCTCGTTTGTGTGTTGGAGTGTATGTATGTATGTATGTGTATCTCTTTGGGCATGGGAGTTTGTGTTTTCATTAACAATTTTGCGTTGGCCGCCATTTTGCTTTTTGTCTTGTGTGGCTCTCTCTTTTGGGGCCAGCTCTCTCTTTGGGGTTCCGCTTTTACCGTTTCACCGTTTACCGTTATCCCTGGCAGCTTCTGCCATCGTTATTAAGGCCATTCAGTCTCTCTAATTACGTTCTGGGCTCTTCCTCAAAACGAAAGCGCTTTCCTCGTCGCTTTCACGGCTGATTAAATTAGCGCGTTTCTTGTCAAGTGATTAATTTAATTGCTCTGTGCACTCAGGCCAGCAAACTAATTAGCTAACCCGCTTTTCTTTTGCTGTCTCTTCAGGTTTGGTTCCAGAACCGACGCGCCAAGTGGCGTCGCCAGGAGAAGTCCGAGAGTCTGCGTCTGGGCCTGACGCACTTCACCCAACTGCCCCACCGCCTCGGATGCGGCGCCTCTGGACTGCCGGTGGATCCTTGGCTGTCACCGCCACTGCTTAGTGCACTGCCAGGTAAAATACTTAATATATCTTTTCTTTTTTCCATTTTTTACTAAACTTTATCCTTTTTTAGGATTTCTGTCACATCCGCAAACCGTTTATCCCAGCTATTTGACGCCGCCTCTTAGCCTGGCGCCCACCAACTTAACCATGAGCAGTCTGGCGGCCATGGGTCATCATCATGCCCACAATGGACCACCTCCTCCGCCGCCCCATGGTGGGCATGGTCAGCCGCAGCCACCGCCACCTCCACCGCCGCCACACGCAGTACCCCACCCGCACGCCGGCCACCACGTGGTGCCCCTGTCACATCTGTCGCCGCACCTGTCACGCATGTCGCCACATGCCACTTCCTTGGGCTCGCCTCACCACGGTGTCACGGCCCTGACCACGCCTCTGCACAGTAGCCTGCCGGTCAGCTCGACAGCGGCGGCCGCCGTGGTCTCATCCTCGCAGTCGTCCTCCTCCTCCGCCTCGCTGGAGTGCAGTGGCCCGGACGTTTGCATGTCGCCCCAGAACCTGAGCATCGGCAACGCTGACTCCAACGGAGAGGGCCGTGACTTGAGCGACCTGGAAGCCGGCAGCAGCAACAGCAATCACGGCAGCAGCCTGGACAAGTGCGCGGCCAACGCCAACATTGAGCTCCTGGACGTGGGAAGGGACAGTCCACCGCCACCACCACCTCCCTCGTCGCAGTCGCAGACCACTGCCGTTAAATTATCTGCCACCCCGCCGGCCGACATGCGCAGCAACTCGATCGCCACGCTGCGGATCAAGGCCAAGGAGCACCTGGACAACCTGAACAAGGGCCTGGTGTCCATGGTCTAGCCCCCGAATGTTCCTAGCCTCAGTGCCCCCGGCTCCTAAGTTTAGCTCCAATCAAAACACATTCCCAACTTCAATTTCTAGGTGTATCCTAAGTTTAGTGAATTTCGTATGTTGTAAGGACTCGATTCGGAAGCAGATTATACATAATCACGTTGTGCAAACTGTACTTGTAAAATTTTACTACTTCTATGGTCTATCGAAAACGCCGACGAAGAAGTCCAATCCTAAAGAATATTAGCACAAAATAAATATGGTCAAGTTTTAGCGCAAAGGTCCTCTATTTCTGTTTCTCTCTGGGGGAAAGGGTTCCATGGGATGGGGCTAATCAATAACCAATAACCTAGTCGGGCCAATTATGAAGCTTATCTGGCTCATTGATCGAATGGCCGTGGCCATGGCTGGTTAATGAGTTGATTAATAAGAAAATCATGAGACATTGGACAAAAAAAAACGCTGACGTGCAGTAATTAAAGGCAATTAAAAAGGACTAAATGCACTGCAAACAATGGCCTCGGTGAAGAAAAAAGGGTCCTGCTGGGGTGTCCTCAAACAGGTGCAGTAGCCGTATTCGAAACTAATAATGTAACGAATAAAATTGTAATTGATTAACGCCGCGGGCAATTAAATGCAAGCATGTTGCCCAAGCCAGGGGGCTTGCACGAGTCCTTGCACACCGAAGTAGGTATGTGTGTCCCATGTGAGCGATACAATTTGCTCAAAGGACCTCGGCGCTATGATAATTGCCCGCAATTACATCAGGACGCTTATCACACGCACACCATCTAGGCGGAAAATCTCACCCAAATGCATTGAAAGCGCTGTACATGGGAAAGGAAACTCTGCATTTATACTGAAATTGTCGGGGGAAATGGAAGGGAGGCTACTTAGCGAGTGTTTAGGGACAGATTAATGGCATTTTTCATCCCTTCGTGGAAGGCTTGTACTATTTTAAAACAAAGTATAGAGTCTAGGATAAATAATGTGAGTCCTTGACCAACGATCTAAATTAAATATGAATAAATATTAGAGTATGTCAAAGCGAAAATATTTGTTGCCTCTGAAATATGTTCCAGATATTCCAGAAATCCAAATTTCTTTTTACGTAAAAGTTATTTAAAGATATAGAAAGAGAGATACATATATTTTAAAAATTTTTAATGTCCTGATATTATTAAATTTAGTAGTACAATGAAAACAAACTCAAAAAATAAATGCTCTTTCATTTTAAAATTCGAAGGTTAGTTCCATTTACGGCCAATTTTGGAACTAAAACTCTACATTTTATTTACATGGCGCTAGTGTGTCTCTGCCTAGCAAATTTTATTATGAGACGAAATATTTGTCATGTTTTTCCACAGTGATGGCTATATCTTCCCCAACTCTCATCCGATTCTCAAGCGGAGTACCTTAAACGATTTCTAGATCGATTCTCCACCATTCTGCATCAAAATCCTGAGATAAAATATTTTTTAGATTTTTTGTCCATTTTTCATGATGGGATCCCTTGAAATGGGGTTTTCCCCTATAGGGTCCACAGGGATGGCTATATTTTCCCCAATTCTCATCCGATTCTCAAGCGGAGTACCTTAAACGATTTCTAGATCGATTCTGCACCATTCTGCATCAAAATCCTGAGACAAAATATTTTTTAGATTTTTTGTCCATTTTTCATGATGGGATCCCTTGAAAATGGTGTTTTCCCTATAGGGTCCACTGTGATGGCTATATCTTCCCCAATTCTCATCCGATTCCCAAACGAAGTACCTTAAACGATTTGTAGATCGATTCTCCACCATTCTGCATCAAAATCCTGAGACAAAATATTTTTCAGATTTTTTGTCCATTTTTCCTGATGGGTTCCCTTGAAAATGGTGTTTTCCCCTATAGGGTCCACTGTGATGGCTATATCTTCCCCAATTCTCATCCGATTCCCAAACGGAGTACCTTAAACGATTTGTAGATCGATTCTCCACCATTCTGCATCAAAATCCTGATACAAAATATTTTTCAGATTTTTTGTCCATTTTTCCTGATGGGGTCCCTTGAAAATGGTGTTTTCCCTATAGGGTCCACTGTGATGGCTATATCTTCCCCAATTCTCATCCGATTCCCAAACGGAGTACCTTAAACGATTTGTAGATCGATTCTCCACCATTCTGCATCAAAATCCTGAGACAAAATATTTTTCAGATTTTTTGTGCATTTTTCCTGATGGGTTCCCTTGAAAATGGTGTTTTCCCCTATAGGGTCCACTGTGATGGCTATATCTTCCCCAATTCTCATCCGATTCTCAAGCGGAGTACCTTAAACGATTTGTAGATCGATTCTCCACCATTCTGCATCAAAATCCTGATACAAAATATTTTTCAGATTTTTTGTCCATTTTTCCTGATGGGTTCCCTTGAAAATGGTGTTTTCCCTATAGGGTCCACTGTGATGGCTATATCTTCCCCAATTCTCATCCGATTCCCAAACGAAGTACCTTAAACGATTTGTAGATCGATTCTCCACCATTCTGCATCAAAATCCTGAGACAAAATATTTTTCAGATTTTTTGTGCATTTTTCCTGATGGGTTCCCTTGAAAATGGTGTTTTCCCCTATAGGGTCCACTGTGATGGCTATATCTTCCCCAATTCTCATCGGATTCTCAAGCGAAGTACCTTAAACGATTTTTAGATCGATTCTCCACCATTCTGCATCAATATCCTGATAAAAAATATTTTTCAGATTTTTTGTCCATTCTTCGTGGTGGGGTCCCTTGAAAATGGTGTTTTCCCTATAGGGTCCACTGTGATGGCTATATCTTCCCCAATTCTCATCCGATTCCCAAACGGAGTACCTTAAACGATTTGTAGATCGATTCTCCACCATTCTGCATCAAAATCCTGATACAAAATATTTTTCAGGTTTTTTGTCCATTTTTCCTGATGGGGTCCCTTGAAAATGGTGTTTTCCCTATAGGGTCCACTGTGATGGCTATATCTTCCCCAATTCTCATCCGATTCCCAAACGAAGTACCTTAAACGATTTGTAGATCGATTCTCCACCATTCTGCATCAAAATCCTGAGACAAAATATTTTTCAGATTTTTTGTGCATTTTTCCTGATGAGTTCCCTTGAAAATGGTGTTTTCCCCTATAGGGTCCACTGTGATGGCTATATCTTCCCCAATTCTCATCCGATTCTCAAACGGAGTACCTTAAACGATTTGTAGATCGATTCTCCACCATTCTGCATCAAAATCCTGAGACAAAATATTTTTCAAATTTGTGCCCATTTTTCGTGGTGGGATCCCTTGAAAATGGGGGTTCCCCTATAGGGTCTACAGGGGTAGCTGATATCCACAGGGGTATCGGATATCATTTGCTATACCTCTGCAAGCGTATAAATATGACTCAAAGTTTCGTGGCGCCATCCTTCGGTTTTGGCTTGTACTTGATTTCCGAACAGATGGCGCAACAAGAAGTGTTCGTTATTTTTAGTTAGCTGATTAAGAAGACACAAAGAATAGTTTAATTAAATTTTTATTCCTAAAAAAAAAGACCTTAAACTAATTTTAGATTTCACAGCTCATTCCACTCGCATGCCTGTCAAGTTATTAATGAGCTGTGCTGGGAATTGCATCCGGAGCAATGCACTTCCACTTCCCCAGCACTTCAGAGCAAAACTAATATACATTTATAGAACGCTCTCTGATTGAGTGATGGGCATATTGAGAGATGGCAAAACAATCACAAAGAGGGGGATGGCCAAGCCAAAGGGATCTGGCCGGGAATGAATCATCTAGCAAGACCAAAAATATCCCCATGCTGGGGTGTGTAGGTGCCAAGAACTCGCCTTATAAGGCATAAAATGGCATTCGAAGATGTAGCAGCTGTGGACCACTCACATGTGGACCGCCCTCTTGTAGGGCATTGATCACACTGAGATAAAATAGGTACTGTTTTTCATTTAGTTTGCTTATGCTTTTTTAAGCATGAGCCACAGACACCGCCTGAATCGAGCACTAGATATATTTCATTATTTGTTTCATCCTTAAAAATATCTGATCTAATTAATTCAAATTTTTTTCTGTGGTTGGGGAAAATACGTTGGCAAACCAAAAATACATTACAAATTAAATAAAAATTCAATGCATGCCAAGTGCAAGACAAAGTCCAACGGAATTGAACTTGAATAAAGTGCACACACCCCACACTGCACTACTTAGGGTGTGACGACTGAAGAAGCCGAATTAAAATTCCCAAATGATTTTGCATCACACCATGAGGAGGGTTCTCTGGCCGATTTCGGAGCAGACGGTGGGTGACAAGTGCTCCACAGAGGTTGAACCGAATGAGAACCAAGAGAGTCCTATTAATAGGAATTGTCAAAAACCACCGAGATCGAGTCTGATCGTAATGCCAAAGAATGCTTTCCCATGGCCATGAGTGGTTCGAGCGGAAACAAGAAGGCTATATGGCCATGAGGGCTGAATTAAAACAAATCTTTCTACCAATTTCTCCGTATCCGTATATCCCATATGTCTATATCACAATTGTACTTTAATTAATAGCACACACAGACGATGATACTTATATATTGACCAAGATATATCGCATATTGATGACATACAGCTGATCGTGCCCGTTTGGTCGATGATGAAAGCGTTGGCGCTATTTTTCTTGTTTTCCTTTATTTTTTTTCAGCCTCTAATTTTTCTACATTTTTTCGATACACAGATATATTTTTTTTTGTTTTTCCTATGCGCTCGCTGCTTCTATTTCGTGTATATATAAAATAACAATGTTAAAAATAAATTCATCCAAACGAAATGAAACCAGCGGCCAGAACTGAAATTATTGAACAACATTTCGGTGATTATGATGGTTGTTGTGCGCGGGTGTGCGGATTCATGGGTGTTGGTGTGTTGCAAACTGAACAAAAATCCGTTTTAGAGCAGACCATAAATGTCCGCGTCACTTTTGGTTGTTGTTGGGCTCCTACCTCCCTTTCCCTAGGCTCTATATGCACCCGATGTGGGTGACCCCAACAAGGGTGACCCAAACGTGAGAACATTATTGCAATGAAATTTAAGGGGAATATATAACATCAGACATATTTTCATTTCAAAAAGCAATAATAGAAGGTCGAAACATTCCTACCCTTTACATATTTATAGAAAATTCATTTAAAAAGCGTCAAGTTTCTGTCTCTAAAAAAATAACAAGGTTATACTGATTTTAATACATAAATCATAGAGCACTAGAACGAAAGA